AATAACAATAATAGGGTAAATAATTATTAAACAACAGTATTTGGATTAGTAAAATTTCAAAATAACAGTGTTTGGATGATTACTTCCTTATATATCTTCATGGAAAGAATTTATAGGTTCTATCCAAGTCTTAAATATAAACCAATCCTACGTAATGCTTATCTGTATTTTATGGTACTGAGGATAAAGGTGTAAATGGCAAGAACTTAATTGAGTTCATTTATTTTAGTAAGTAGGCTAACTTAATAATCCTTCTTACCATATATAAGCAACATAGGACATAATTTTTATGTCACAATAAATACTCTGTACTTTTCAAGGAACAATAATGTTATGTAAACATATTTAATGATTTAATCTATTACAACTATTGAATTAGTTGTGGGTCCCAATAGACTACGAAAATAGGCCTAAAAAGGTGTGATCTTTTACCAATAAAAAAAAAGGTGTGATCTTTAGATTCAAGATCTAACTTTAGTAGCAGTTGTCCAAACCTGGATTATATAAGTTATTTCTTTTGTTTTGTTTTCTTTCCCCATGAATCAATCACCCACCTTTTACTATTCAGATTTCCTTGAATGCGCCACAACCTATTTTAGTATTTTGAGTTAGTATTGTTTTTTGGAAAAGTAAAGTATTCATTCATCCATGTAAAAAACTTGTACACCCATCTCCGTTACAAAACAAAAGACAACAAGAAAAGAGAACAAAAAAGACCTAAACTGCTAGAAATTATGTGGGATAACAGAACTCTTGCCAGTTCAGGGCATTCTTGCTAGAGTATGTGTAGACCAAGTACTAGAAATAGAGTTATTCCAATGTTGCATGAGTGCAAAATTTTGAGAGGACTGCTTGAATTTATCAGTGAGAAGTTTACTGCCTCTCATATTAAGGGTGGTCTTCAAAGTTGTGGCTTCATACCTGTATTCATTTTTGAAGACTTTAACATTTCTTTCTCTCCAAAGAGTATAAACGGAGGTAGAAAGGCTTGACTTGAGCACAATGGTTCTAAGAGATTTTCATTTCCACTGATTAGAAGCTGAATGGATAGTTGATAGCCACAAAGGGTGGAATCAGGTAGCCATATAATGACTAAGCACTCTGCACCATATCTTACCAGTGAAAGGGCAATCAAAAAATAGATGGTTAAGTCTCTCTCCTCTATAAGTCTACAAAAAACACATGATGTGTTAATGTGCTACATATAATTCTTGACTTGATCCTTCGTACCAAACTTCCCATGCATAGCCATCCATAGCACAAATGACATTCTAGGGCTGGATTGAGGGAACCAAACAAGTCGATGCCAAGGGACCTTATTGCCTGAGGTGTAAAATAACTTCCAAGATGAGTGGGATAAGTAATGACCTTGTGGATCAGGGAGCCATTTAACTTTGTCTTCATGTTGAGGATTGGGGAGGTAAGATGGCATAGAATTGTGAATTTGCAACAACTCTGGAGTGAATGATGAAGGCCATCCTAGCTAGGGCCATTGACAATGGATTCTAGCTTTACATAGGATGGTAGATTTGTAAGTTCAATGATATTTTTAGGCCATCTGAGAAGAAGTGGACCACTAGGGTATCATGCCACAGGTGTGTTGCTTTAGCATCCCAATAAAGTGGAGGATTAATGGCCTAGCAACTTGCCTAAACTTTAGAAGCTTGCTCCAATTCCAAGAGCAAACTTGGGGTGGTCTAACTTCCAAAATGATTTCATTTTCAGGTATTTTACTCTAATCCAATTAGCCCAAAGGTTTTCCTTGACTGTCATTATGAATCATATGTATCTCAACATTAAATTCATGTTCTAGCTATGAAGATCCTTCAATCCAAAGCCACCTTCTTCTTTAGATTTAATTACAATCTCTCATGCAACCTTTGAAACTCCTTTCTTTTGCTCATTGCCATTCCAAATGAACGATCTTAGAAGCTATTCAATTCTTTTCAAGACACTCTTGGGGAGGATAAGATGGCATAACCAGTAACATTGCATGTTACTTAGAATAGATCTTATAAGTTGTAGTCTACCTGCATAAGAGAGGAATATTTTAGTCCAACTTATTCTAGCCACAGTTTGATCCACAATCCCTTGGTCTCAACTTAGTTGAAATGAGTGGGATACCCAAATACTATACAGGTAATTGCCCCAACTGAAATCCAAGGTTGGAAAATAATTTGGTCCCTTTGTATTTCCTCCACCCCAGATATGAAAATTTGGCTCTTAGCTACGTTAGCATTAACCCAAAGAGAGCTTGAAACTTATCCAGAGCTGTTTTCAGTAGAGCCACAGAGGTAAGATCACCATGATAGAAAATAAAAAGGTCATCAACAAAGCATAAATGCAAAAGTTTTTGTCCCTTGCACTTCCGGTGGAATTTAAATGTGTTAGAAGCAAAAATTTCTACCTTGAGGATGTGGATGAGTGCTTCCATTGTAAGAACAAACAAGCAAGGGGAAAAGGGGTCTCGTTTTCTAATACCTCTCTTCTAGGAAAGAAGCCAACTAACTTTCCATTAAGGAAAATACTGAATATAGGTGTTGAGATGCAAGTTTGGATCCAAGCACCAAGCAATCATGTTTCCTGAAAATTTGAATCTCTTCGGGATGTTAGTTTTATAAACTCTATTTTTTTAAGGGGTTTTTTTTTTGTATTTTTGGGTATTGAAAAGTCATGGTATTTGAATTGATATATACCAGAAGTGTCCAGAATATTTTTGAGAAGTCTATTCATGTATTTGGGAGACTTATTCATGTATGGTTGCATGGAAAGTTGAACAGTTTTTTCTTGGGGATAGCCAGCCATAAAGTGGCCAAATTTAGAGTGTTTTGGCTAGGAAAAATCAGTATAAAAGGGGCCGGAGTTACTGCCCAAAATAGAGTCTCTGTGCAGAAAAATATAGAGGAAAAAGTGAGAAAAACAGTGTGTTTGCTGCCTGAAAAAAACAGCAGCTTGTTCATGAGCAGAAGCTCTATTTCTTTGTATTTTCTTGAGTGTTTACTGCTGAAAAATTCTGATAAGTTGCTCCCCATGTATTCCTTGATATTGTGATCATATTTGATGAAATATAGAGATGTTTCTTGAATGAAATTAGTGTGGAAGTGGAGCAGTTTTTCATCCTCTATTTTTGTGCTCTTTAGTAGTTTTTTTTTTGCTTCTAATTCCCAACACGGGATTGATATAGAAAAATTCCAATCAACCATGTCAAAAGCCTTCATCAGGTTAACCTTAACAGCACATCTAGGTGATCCTCTCTCTTTACGGTAATCCCTCATAAATTCTTGGGCAAGGAGGATGTTATCCCCAATCCTCCTTCCTGGAACAAAAGCTAATTGGTTATAGGAAACAATTTCAGACAAGACTAACTTAATTCTTGAAGCTATGACCTTAGAAATGATTTTATATAAGGTCTTGCAGCATGAAATAGGTCTAAAGTCACCCATCACTAAAGGGTTGTGTATTGTAGGAGCTAATGCAAGGATGGTGTTGTTGGTTTCTTTAAGGATTTGGCCCCTGATAAAGAATTCCAAAACTACAGCAGTGATATCCTTCCCAATGATACTCCAAGAAGCTCTATAGAAAAGGCCATTGAACCCATCAGGTCTTGGGGCCTTGTTAGGGTGAATAGAGAAAACAGCTTCCTTAATCTCCTCCTCAGAAATAGGTCTGGAAAGATGCAGTGCCAGATTTTCTAAAAGTTGTTTCCAAGGTAGGTTACTAAGCTCCTCATCCCTGTTAAGTGAGCATGGTGCCTTATTACCTAGCCGAGTTTGAAAATGTTGAATTGTAGTTTGCTGGACCTCCAAAGGCTCATTTGCAGTAGTCCCATCGAATCTAGTGATAGATAAAATTTTGTCTCTATTCCTCCAAGAATTAATGGTTTTGAAGAAGAAAGCTGAGTTTTGATCCTCCTCCTTAAGCCACTAAACTTTTCACTTTTGCCTTCAGAAATATTTCTCCTTTTTACTGCAAGCACGTAGTCTTAGAGGAGTTGTTTCTCAAGTGATCTTAGGATTGCATCCATAAGAAATGTGTCAAGAAGTCTTTGGCATTTGTCCAACTCCATCTTTGAAGTTTGAACTTTGGTGGTAACATTCTCATTCTGGGGTTTTGTGAGGTTCTTGAATGCTTGCTTTAGTTTCTTCAGCTTAGAGGAGACTTAGAATTGTAGGGTGCCTCCAACAATTTACTGAAAATCCTCTTTTTGAGTGAGATAGTTATAAAATTTGAATGGACATTTCCTATTTTTTCTCAATCCTCCTATTCTAAGAATACGTGGATTGTGATCGGAAAGACCAGGTGGAAGGAACTAAGCCATAACATCAAAAAAGGGTTTTGTTCCAAGCATCATTGATAAGGATTCTATCAAGCTTCCTCACCACACACTGTCCAGGGTCTCTATTGTTTGACCAAGTATAGAGGAGGCCTAAAAATCTAAGGTTTATGAGTTCAACACCTTGCATGAAATTATCAAAATCATCCATTGATTGGTTTCAATTTTCAAAGCCCCCAGGTCTCTTGAAGATTTTTGATGGCATTAAAATCTCCCAATAGGGCCCATGGATTGCCCACAAAAGCTTGTGCATGATGGATGATATTCTTCCAAAGAGGCCTTCTGTCCCTCTCATCATTGAATGCATAAACAAAAGTAACAAAAAATGAGGTTCTACTGTCTTGTTAACAAGACAATGGATATCTTGTCTTGTTTCCTCTAGTTGTTGGACTCTAAGGACCAATATGTTCCATCCAACCCATATTCTTCCAAAAAATGATGGTTGTGATAGTTATGCATGGATTCCCAGTCTCTAAAAGTAAATCTCATGGCTTCATCTTTATTGAGATATCTAACCTTAGTTTCCGCAATGCCAACTAGGTTAAGTTGTTGTTCAAAAATTAGTTTCCTAACCTCTTCTTGTTTAACAGAGGAATTGAGACCTCTATGTTCCAACATCCTATATTGATCATTGGAATTTGGAGGTTTTTTGGGTTAGAAACCCAGATCACTTAGCACTACCAGACATAAAGGGGTGCTTATTTATCTTTTTCTTCTTCTTCTTCTTCTTCCTTTTAGAAGATACTGGCTCATTAAGGACAAAGGTGTTAGAAAAGGAAGTGGATACATGTTCCTCTTGACTAGAGGAGGGAATGCACTCATTTGGAGGACTGTTGTCTTCCTTGTTCAGCTCAGCAAATTTGTTTGATGTTTCAATTGGGGCATCATCAGTTGTTCTACTTGTGGATTCTGATTGCTGTTCAACTTGTGGATTCTGAGCTTCAACTGGGGCCACCTCAGCACACCTTTGATCTTTAGCGGATGGTAGAATCACAGTAGCATGAAGTATTTCAATACTTTGATCAATCACTTAAGGAAGTGAGGCCACTTCTTTACCCTTCAAGCTCACATCCCTTGGGGTTTTATGGCTTTTAACAGTTTGTCACTGCTCAGTTGTGGTAGGTTGCTGGGTAGAAGCCTTGGGGTAGGAGATCTGAGAGTGACCAAACACTTTGCAGGTATTGCATATTTTTGGCTTCCAGGGGTAATCAACTTTGATTTCTATAATCTTTGATTCACCCAGACTAAGACCAAAAGAATTAACCAGACCTTGAGTAGCATCTATTTCAATACAAACTCTAGAATAACTTAGTCTCTTGCATTTCTCTATGAGCTTGACTGCATACAGTGATCTAATCATAAGAGGAGGTTCTGTTAGGACCCTGGGTGGACTTGCCCTTCCCATATTCACAGGGAACATAAGTTATCGCATCAACTATATTGGGAGTAGCTAAAGATGCTGAGATTTTCCTCTATTTAGAAGAAAGTTTCTGTTTTTCAAATTTTGAATTTCTTCCCTGAAGCACGTGAACTGAACTTTGAGCTTGGCTCACAACCTTGGGGTTGGAAGCCAGGTCCTTGTTGATTAAGGGTTGTGATGTGATTCCTCGAAGGATATCATCCTTCTATTTGTCAATAACAATTTCTAGGTCAGAGATTGCTATAGCATGACCTCCTTAGAGTTAGCAGAGCTCATTTCTACGAAAACAAATGGTTATAGAGAAGAATGTAGGGAAGAGAAGCAGCAGTTGGTAAGGAAGAATGTAGGTAAGAGAAAATTTGGGTGACTAAGCAAGATGAAAGCAAATTATGAATGTGAGAGGTGAATTGGGAACAAGGGAGAAAGGGAAAGAACACTGAGAAATCAGACATGAAAAGGCAACAAACAGAATGGCAAGGTGAAATCAATGGCGAGGAGGAGGCCATCAGTAGGTAATGTGTTGAAAACGGGAGCGAGAGAAGGGATCCAGTGAAAAAGGGGAAAAGTTGAAAAAATCCCTCCTGTTATTCCTCTAGTTTGATGATTAGAAGAAGTGGGTTAGCTTCCTTTCTTTTTCTTTAGAAAAAGCAAAGATTACTCCCTAGGGTTATAAGGATTCAGATGATATCAGAGCCTCTCAAATGGGAAAATATATTGAGACTTTGGAAGGGGGAGTTAGTATTGTTACTTGGTCCAAATTTATTGATGAAATTTGCTTGTCAAATTCACTTGGGATGGTGCTGAGTTATGGCCAATGGGGCCATGCCTTGCCTTAAGTGTCCAATATTATACAATATACCCCTTAAATTATGAAATTTTACTTTATTTTATATTTTCCTTAGATTTTTTAAAATAACCCTAAATTATGATTTTTATTGTGTTTTACTCTATATTGTTGATTTAATCACATTAAACCATTAACCATTCAAATTGTGTCATTTTAAACAAATTATAAATTTTGATTTTGTACAAATCAATAAATTTTAAAGTTTTTTGAATGACTAATTGTATGTTCGAAGAGGGGTAATTTGGAAAAATATAATACTGGAATACATATGCATGTAAAGTTCAAAACCATACAATGTACACATTTGAATGATTCGCCCTCACTATCTCCAAATTTTCTAAATGTTAGATGCACTCAAGTTACTATTAATGAAACTAAGCTGAAATTATTAATTATTCAATAAATGAGTGTGATTTTTCTACCGTTTATATAATTTCAATAAAATTGAATTAGTTTTATCCCTTTTATTGGAAATTGTATGCATGGAATAGCCTACACATTAAATAAAAACTTCTTGCTTTTCCCACTCAAGATCAACTGAAATGTTAAAATAAAAAGGCGATATTTTATTTATAAATTGGCACGACAACCCTAAAATTACTCATACCCAAACAAACAACTGAAGCACCTATGAGAAAGAGAGAGAGAGAGAGAGAGAGAGAGAGAACAAGCCTTCATATAACTAATGCAACTTATTTGTTTAATTAATTTTTGTCCTTGAATGAGCCTTTAGTGCCATGGAATTTCTTGTGCTGAACTTGGCGATGTCCGACCATGGATTCTACCCCCACAAAAGCACAAGGTCCCTATGCATGCGTAAGCCTTGCTATTCTTACAATGATCTTTACAGTCCTCATCAACTTTGCATTGATGCGCATAAACTACATTTCTTGCTTCACCTCCCAAAAGAAAACCTGCTAATTAAAAAGTGTTTCAGTACTCAAACCCATTAGTATATTTACTGCTAAACAATTCATTGGAATGAAGTCTATCCTTGAAAACTTGATAAATTTATAGACGTGTGCATGTTTGTATGCATGTATGTATTCAGATACAGAACGAAGAGTTTACGTTTAAGAGGGGGCAAATTGTGGCAAAGTTAAAATTTTCTCGTCAGTGTTATTAAATTATTAGTGTAAAAATTTTGTCATCAATGCTATTAAATTATTAGTATTAAAATTTTAATTGTATAGTAAAATCACCTTTCACATAATACCTTATATTTCATCTACATTTTAATAAACGACTTCATTTTTTTGTAAGACCACAATCTTGACCTCCAATCAAGATCCCTTTCTTATTTCTACCTTTGGTATAACCAAGATTTCAAATCTTTGGGATGTTTGCTATCGCCTAACAGGGATTGCATCGTAGGTGGATCAATTCAAATTCGACCATATTTGAATTGACCAAAATTTCAATCCAAGTTGTCTAATACTAAAACCACAGTTCACACAATTCACATATTATGCCCCTAAATCTTGCACAAGAGGGGTGTGTGTGTGTGTGTGTGTGTGTGTGAGGGAGAGAGAGAGAGAGAGAGGGAGAGAGATAGACCTATAGAAATGAGCAAGAGGGTGCCAATGATAGTCAACTTGAATGAAGCCTTCTCCATACCTACTGGGTGGTGTGATTTCAAGCTCTCAACCATATTAAGCTTTAGTTTGGCCTACATTTATAGTGCAGATTTCTTTCTAATGGGATTTATTTTTTAGGCTAGAAAAACATCATTCTTGTTTTTATGGTAGGTTCTTAAATATGGATGTAGTATGAGTTTGTCCTACCTGGAGGCCATGTCAGAATGTATCATTTATATCTCAAGTTGATTATTTGGCTACAGCTATTATAAAACTTATTACTAAAACAATGTTGATTACCAAATTACTAAAGTTGCAGTTATTGTAAAATGTATTCCTGAAACTCTTTTAAACACAAAAGCATGTTTTGAAAAGCATGTTTTGAAAACACATGACAAACACTTCAAAGTACATTTTCAAAACATGTTTTTATGTTGAAAAGCGTGTTTTTTAAAACAACAACAAGTGGGTAAATAAATATTAAACTATGATATTTGCGTAAGTAAAATTTCAAAATAATAGCATTTGGATGATTAGTTCTTTATAAGTGTATGGAAAGAGTTCACTGGTGTCATTTAAAGTTATCTTGAAATTAAATCAAACCTACACAATGCTTATCTGTGTATATGGCAAGAACATAATTGAGTTCATTTATTTTAGTAGGTAGGCTAACTTAACAATGTGAGAGAAATTACTACCATTCTAGAGAAATTGTAATGTAATCCTTCAATTACCATATAGAAGTAGCATAGGACATAATTTTAATGTCACAATAAATATTCTATACTTTTTTTCGGAAGATAAAATGTTTCTATTGATTCAAAAAAGGACAAGATACTGCAGAGTGAATTCCTTTACAAACAATAGGAATCACCTATTTAATAGCAAACTACTGACTTCTGGGGGAAATGAGGTTAGTTGTCCAAACTTCCAACAAAATGCACTAGTAAAGAGATTAGCCCAAACAATTATTGGGGATCTGCCATAATTGAGCAAGTTGCAGGTTTCTGTTGGTGGGGGTTGAATCTAAGAGAAATAGCTATGTCTCTAATGGTTTGGACAATAAGGTTGACGAGAGAGGAGTGGTCCCAAGACTTGCCTTGGTGAATTGTCATGTTTCTTTCCATCCATATATAATAGATGGATACAACAAGACTAAGCTTTACGAGGGTAGTGCATATAGATTTACCTTTCTAGTGTTAGCTTGCATAGTTGATGATCCCTTGCCATGACATGTTTTGCATTTGTTGCCCATTGAGGAGTAGCACCTTGGCCCAAATAGAATGAGAGAAATGGCATTCAAATAATAAATGGGCATGAGACTTGGATGAGGAGTTACAAAAGGAGTATTTCAAACTAATGTCTACAATAAAAGATTGGATTCCGTCTTTGGTGCTTAGTCTGGATCTGATGGCAAGCTACAAAATGAAGGACATTCTAGGGATTGACTGGTTGTACTAGATAAGGTGTTGCCAAGGGACTTTTGGGGATGGGTATCTAATAAGATTCCAAGTTGAGGAAGAGGAGAAGGTACCACCTAGGGTGGGAGACCATTTGATTTTGTCCTTTCTAACCATTTGATTTTGTCCTCTCTAAGTGGAGATGGAAGGTAATTAGGCATGGAGAGGGAGGTTTCCACAACCTGAGGGGAGTTTGTGGTAGGCCAATTCCAAAGGTTGCCATCCACAATGAATCTGACCTTAGCATTCAAGGAATTCCAGAATTTTCCACTACATTAGCATTACATATGGAAAGACGAGGGCCTTGGGGGTGACAATTATGAAACCACAAGTGAGTGTTTTCACCATTAGCATGGCAGATGTGGGGTGTGATAGTATCTCTTAGCTTAACCTTGTGATAGTATCTCTTAGCTTAAGTAGGTTAAGCCAGTTCCACATTTCAGGGAATAATAATCTTATTTGTACCTAATTTGCTAACTTAATCTATTACAACCATTGAATTGGTTGTGGGTCCAAACAAACTACGTAAATGGGCCTAAGAAGTTGTCATCTTTAGATTCGAGATATAACATTACTAATAGTTGTCCAAACCTAGATTATATAAGTTATTTCTTATGTTCGAATTTTTCTTTCCCCTTGCTAGTGATGCCCTTTAGCATCGCCCAAAAAACCTTGGCTTGAGGCACGGTGTTTGGTTA